GTGCCATTAAGATTTGTACAAATTAAATAAACATAAGAGTCATGTTAGATTTGCAAGTGGATATAGAACGTAATCATTATATTACATATTTAAATTTTGTATATACAGTGAAAAATGTACTTAATACCAACAACGCACTTAGCCCTTAGTCATCCCATTGGTTTTTTTTCTATGCAGAGCCCAACGTTGGGCGAACGCTGTTTTTAATCCCTTAAACCATTGAAATTGGGTATGTTTTTAAATGTTTGTTTTTTGATTTTGCAAGCAGACAAACAATTGTTCAATCAAAATTTTAAACCCATTGAAAACTTATGATTGTTGAGATTTTTTAAACAAAAATGGAAGTGTTCCCAACATCTGTAGCTAGTAATATTTCGAAATTTAAAAAAATTGAACTTAAAGTTCCTTGTGCTCACTTATTTATATATTTAATATTACTTTTTAGTCATTTTCCTGTGCAGGACACAAAGAATCTTACAGTCGATGTCCACTTAAAAGATCTTTCACTGTATTTCAATAGCTCATTTTTTTCTTCACAATATATTAGATCTGAAAACCGTTCTAACTAACTCTGACAGTTCTTGATTTATAAATGGTGTCCTATGGCTCAATGTTTGTTTATTTTGGTCTTATTACAAACACACTGAATAGACATAGTTCCATGTAATTTACAACAGGTGCCAATTGGCTGATCGTCACACTATTTTTAATGGGCAAGCTGGGCATTACCTCATCGTTTGCGGTCATTTATACCTACACAGCTGAAATGATGCCAACGGTTGGTGAAATAATTACAAAAATTCCATATTATTATTCTGTTAAAATTGCAATTTATTTTCAGGTCATACGCAGCGGCGGCGTTGGCGTCATGTCCACATTTGCACGTTTTGGTGCCATGCTGGCGCCCTTTGTTCCACTACTGGTTTGTGCATATTTATTACATATTATTATTATAATTCTTTATATTTTATTTCATGCCTTTTAGGGCGACTACTATGAGCCGTTGCCATTGCTGCTGTTCGGCGCTGCATCTATGCTGGCAGGATTTCTGTCGCTGCTGCTGCCGGAAACCTTTCACAAGAAGCTGCCAGATACGGTAGATTCAGAAAATATAACTTCTGTATATAATATATTAAATTATGAACTATCTTTTCCACAGGTCGATGAGGCAATTGCCTTGGGCAACAAGACGCGTCCACTTTCGAATATTGCGAACAATTCCACATCCACAAACAGTCAACAACACGAGTCCATAATGTGATTAGGCATATTAAGAGCATTCATTATCCATCTAGTACAAAGCACTAGTAGTTAATTAGAGACTTGCTTTTTATATGGAACCTGGCACGAAATTTTGTACTTAGTTTTATATATAACACGAATCTAAACCAAAAATAGTCTGCACGCGTATTTGTTTTTGTTTCCAATACTCGATATTAATATTTTCATATCAGAGAAGATGAATTGGTTTAGCCCTATGCTATGCAGATGAAACAGTTTTTTAAATTATTTTAAGATCACCTTCCCCCATTGAGTTTTAATTGTTAGCTATATTAAAAATATGTATTTTTATAAATGAAATGCCAATGAATATTTACAATTTACTAAAAAAAATAACTCTAAACAAATATTATTGCCCAAACAGACCCTCAAATAAAAGCGGATCAGTTATGATCCCGAAACGATGGAGCAATTTGTAACGCTGCTTCTTATCGGTTCGCAGGCAAATTGGTTGATAAAAGCCCAAGCGCCTGCGGCTCTTTGGTTCCCAGTCCGGTAGCAAATCTTCAATATCGACCAGAAGTTCCTTGCGTCGTCCCCAGAAGTCCACATAGGCCAGCTTCAACTGATCCTGATGATCGTTGATGTAGATGAAACCAATTATATTGGTGGCCACATAGCTGGCCAGTGAGAGCGTCATTAGCCCCGTAACACCAATGGCTGTATAAATGCCCAGCACATCACCTGAGACTTGACCAGCATTTTCCAGGGCAATGGCCACCGGCGTTCCAGCCACTGTGATAAGAGCCTGATAGATTTTGAGTCTATTAAAGGCAGCTACTAGGCGTATTAATGGCAATCTATAAATAGGGCGCCATTCCGTAAAGCCGGCATCCAAAGCAGATGATTTCCCAGTTTTTGTTGTTGATGTTGACGTTGCAGGTTGTGTGACAGCTTGTGTTGATGCATATCGCCGACTGCTCCCTATACAATATGACAGTGGCAATTTGAGAATTTGTGGCCTACACAATCGTTGCAGCACTGCAAAACAATTTTTCTATGTTACTAAATCGCCGTAAATATGTTTTTGTTTATATAAACCCAAAAACTCACTTGTTGTGTGACTGTTAGATAAACACTGCGCTCTCTGTTGAGCATGGCACTGTTTAACTCAAAATGGCGATAATATGTTATCGATATGTTCTTGTACTGCAGCTGGTCACACTGCTATGGTATTTCGTTTCTAATTATAACGTTTTTATTTTATTCAAATCAACTTAAAATAAACTAATGTCCATGTTATTTCATTTTATTTTGTAAATTAACACTCATGAGAAATCGCAAAGGACAGCAGACTGGCAAATGCTGAGAGTGCTTAACAGCGACAATGTTGGTGATCGTGAAATAAGCTCTCAATTAAATTGTTAACTAAGCTTTTGAGAACGCGCATATATTTGAGTATATTGAGCATTGAGCGCCAGGCATTTGTTTAATAATAGACGCGACCAGATGAGCGACACTGTCCAAAGCAATCAAATTCTTGTTCAGTCCGAGTCGACAACGACGACAGCTCGTTGTTGCATTTACGATCTTGTGCCGGTCGCTTTTGGTCAGTTACAAAACTAATTTACATAGTATGTATTTCGTTTAAATATATGATTTGAATTATATTTAAGGGCATGAAAATATTAAAAAAAAATTAAGTTTTTGGACAAATGGCCAACACAAATAAACCGTTCATTAATTTTAGCCAATTAGGGCTAATGCGCAGAAGAAACTAATAATATAATAATAATGTTCCTTAACTGAATTTTCAAGTGCCAAAAACGGTTAAATAACAATTCAGCTAATCAATGTTGAATACAAATACAATTAAATAAAACATAGATTGATGTTTAGTGACAATTTGATGTTTTCGTGTGTTGTTTAACAAGCTGTAAATATTTTTAGCACAATTTTGGCGTGCTGCGAATTCGAAAATAGTTTCCAATGTTTGTGTGTGCGTAATTTCTTTACCCGAAATGCGCACAAGTGCAACATGTAAATAAATATATATATATATGGGTTAATATAATAACAATAAAATACAGTACACGCTTGGATATAAAAACTTTCAGAAATCGGCATTTTCCAGAAATTAAAAGCCGTTTTTCAAGATTTTAGGTGTCTTGCAGCAAATCTTAAGTTGGAATTAGGGAAAGCATGATACCCATTCAGTTTTTATGTAGATATAGATTAATTCGAAAAATCTAAATATTATGCGAAAACTCTGAAACTAGAATGTTCCAATTTGCGGTTTTGATCTGTGTTAAATACAAATCAAAATTGTCAATTTGTCTCAATTTTGCCAAACTTTGAAGAAATTGTTTTCTTTTTTGAATATCTGCCGCAAGAAACGGTTTTCCTTATCTGCATGAAGAACGGGTTTCCATATTTTAATTTGTGATTTAAGGTACGGCAGTATGTCGATGACATCGCTGGGTATAAGCGCTGGCTTCATGGTCGGCTGCTGCATTGCAGCACAGATTGCGCGCCGGGTGAGCCGTCGACTGCTCAGCCAGGAAGGCATTGTGCCCGTGCTGATGAACGAGGCAATTGCCGCGGCGGAACTGTGCGCCTGTTGTTTTGAGCTGATCATCGGTAAGTGGAGCTGTGCCCGCTTAAGTAGAAGATTTACAAATTGGAGCATATGCAGTGGCCGATAACTTTGGCGTGGCCACCTATGCCATTTTTTTGTTCCTGCTGACCATCTGGTGGGGCAAGGTCTGGGGCGATGCCTCCGCCTGTCCGTACACACACATGGAGGACGTGCTGGAGGGACGCACCAGCTTTAAGGAGATGGCACTGCGCACCTGGGCAGAGCTAATGGGCGGCTGTTGTGTGTATCGCATTGTCCAGGTCTTCTGGTGGTTGGAATTCGCCGAGACGCACAAGGGGCGTGCCTTCGAGGAGTGCAACGCCGATTTGCAGGTTAGCCCCTATGTGGGTGCTGCCATTGAGGGTGTGGCCACACTTCTGTGCCGCCTGGCCTCCAAAACGATTAGCGTGCAGGAGCCAAAGTTTAGTAGTTATATTGATTCCTTTATCGGCACCAGCCTGGTGGTCGCAGGTAAGTACTCGCCCGCCTGAAACGTGGCTACCAACTGCCGCCATGTCCTCTCAAAAAGTTTACGCTTTTAATTATGCCCTGCTTACAGCCTTTAACTTTTCTGGCGGTTATTTTAATCCGGTGCTGGCCACGGCTCTCAAGTGGGGCTGTCGCGGACACAGCAATCTGGAGCACATCATCGTCTACTGGATTGGCGCCTGTCTGGGTGCTATGCTATCGGTGCCCATTTTCAAGCTGTCCATTGTACGGCGCTTCCTTCTGGGCGACGAGAAACCAAAACAGGCCTAGACTGCCTGCAATTACAACGGCTAAAATGTAAACGCATAGCCAATAGTTAATTTATTTATGCTTTAAAATTATCGATAATACCGCACAATTTATAAAGCCTTGTTATCGTTCATCGAAACGCGAAATTCTTCGATATTTCATGACATCAAAAATACTAAACAATTATTAAATACGATAGCAAAAATTATCGAATTTAAAATTCGTTAGCCCTAATTTTGTTAATTTCAATTGAAAAAAAAAAAATTAAAATTTTAAAATAATTACTTGCGATATTTATAGTAAATATTTACCGATTTAAAAGATGGGTAATAATATTGATCGAGCAATAAACTAATAAAACTTGCGATTAAATATATTTTTTGATAATTTAAAGAGATTTAAATTTATTTTGTTATATCCAGACGTATCTTTTTTATTATTAACCATCAAATACCATCAACTGTTATTTATTATCTAAAATCACAATTTTTACATGCTATTAAAAACTAAGTAGATAATTTAAGAATATTATGTTATGTATTGTTAAGTTTCCCGTGTAGTTACATAAAATATGTACTTATTTATATAACTTCCCCATAGCTTAAGTAAGCATATAGCCAGATATCTTACTATTGTGAACCGTGATATCGTATTTATGACTCCTGGTTGGCAGCCGGTGCAGGTGCCGCTGCTGCTGCTGGTCGGCGTCGTCGACGACGTGTGACGCGCAACACGACCTCATCATTGATCCGCTCGAATTGATAGTCACTGTTGCCCAGAGAGCAGCGTTTGGTCACCATGGAAGAGTCGTTGCTGTTCTGGCAGTGGCTCTGCTCCATGGTGCTGGCATTGAAAGTCTCATCAATGGTCACATGCAACTGCGAGGTGTCCGTAGTCAAGGCTGTTTCTGGTGGCGTTTGGGGCACAATTGGATCGGCGGTATTCACTGTGTCCCCATCGTTAACATCTACTCTACGTTTTTTTAGCGGTGTTTCTTCTGAATCTTCCGGCGTAGCGCTGCAGGCCTCATTGTTGCTTCTTCTTTTGCTGGTTGTCCGTGCTCCGAGTTTCTTTATTCTGACCTTCACCTTTGTAGGAGTCTTTCGCGTCGTGCACGCAGCTGTCGACTGCAATGGCGATTGCATAAGTATCTGGATAAGATCCTGTTTAGGCGTTTGCGGCCCCTTCATGGATGTGGACGTTACAGCTGTATCGTCCGGATGCTCATCGTTTTGTGACTGCTGATGCAGCTGCTTCAATGCCAGCTCAATGGTATCCGTTTCTAGGCTCAAATTCGGATAGCTTCCGTCCAATGTGATTGCCTGCTGTTTATCTGGTATTAGCTCATTCATAACTGCCTCGAGTGCAGCATCGTCCTCGGTGTGATCAATCTTGGTTGAATCCGGCTGGGCGTACATAACTGTAGCTGCAACGACTGTCAGCTTGGGCGTTATTGTTGTATTAACTGCCACAATTTTCGAGTTGTGCTCATTTTGATTAACTGTGATGAACTGCAGCTGAGACTCTCCTTCATTCTCCGGTGCTGGCTGCGTTAATGTCTCGACATTAAAGTTCAACCCTGGCATTTGCTCAGTAACATCATGTGCATTGGACAGCTCGACTGTTTGTTTCAAGCTGTGCTCCTCGCTTGTTCCATCTACTTTAATTGCCAGATTTTCAATATCCACCATGACGGGCAGGCGTATGTCCTCAATTATTTGTATGCTTCTCATGCCGCGAACTGGACGCTTGGGCGTAACCTCCTCTGCCTGTGCTGCTAATTGATCTAATTGACAAGGGATTGAGTCCTGGCTGGCAGGCGTCGTGGGTTCGCTTAATGTGGGCTTCGCTGCTGCATCTATTTCTTGAAATTCGGATGATTCCGAGTTTTGATTGCTTTCCATTAACTCATTTTCCATGTGGTCCTCACTTTTCGCTTGCTCTAGCTCTTGATCATCATCATCATCAGATGATTCCTCTAGTTCCTGAGCATCATTATCTGATGATTCTCTGTTGTCATTGATTTCCCTTAACTGATTTTCCCTGTTGTCCTCACTTATCGCTTGCTCTAGTTCCTGAGCATTATCGTCTGATGATTCCATGTTGTCATGGCTTTCCATTAATTGATTTTCCCTATGGTCCCCACATTTCGCTTGCTCTAGCTCCTGAGAAACATCATCAGATGATTCCGTGTTTTCATTGCTTTCTCTTAACTGATTTTCTCTATGGTCCTTACTTTTCGCTTGCTCTGGTTCCTGTGCATCATCATCAGATGATTCCATGTTGTCATTGCTTTCCCTTAACTGATTTTCTCTGTGGTGTTCACTTGGCGCATTGTTTGCTGTCGAATTGTCGCTCCTTTCGCCTTCTGATTCTATATTTTCGGTTTCATCCCCAGTCGAGATCTTATTCGTGCTTTCTTTGAGTTCCTCAGTTGGTGCACAGTCTTGATTATCAGTTACATTTGGCTCTACATCGAGCTGTTCTGTAGTATTGGTTGCTTTCTCAGCTGACTGGATTTCAAGCGATGTTTTATCATTGAGAATCATTTCTGACATTTTAACTTTAGCTGTTTCATTTGCCATCTCTTCTTCAGCAATTAATGCCAGTTCCTGAATATGATTATTTGTTTTAGTATTATCCACATCGCTTGCTAGCTCGTGTTCCTCTGCAAAGTCAAGACAATTTTGTGCTTCAGTATCTACATCGCTTGCTAATTTCTCTGCAGCAGTAAAGTCCAGACCAGGTATATATTCATGTGGTTCTGCAACCACTGGCTTTGTTACCTCCAAATCACTCTTCAGGTCTAGGACGGATATATGTTGATTTGTTTTCATATTATCCACCTCTCGTGTTAGATCCTCTTGTATTACAAAATCCATATCAAGTATATTTTCATGTGTTTTTGACACTATATTTTTCGTTGCTTCCTCTTCAATGGACATATTCAGACCCGGTATGAATTCCTGCGTTCTCGTGTCCACTTTGCTTATGGTGTCCTCTTCATCTACCAAATCCAGCCCTGGTATGTATAAATTTGATTTTGTATCCACTTTATTTATGACTTCGAAATTAGCTTTCAAGTTCTGAGCAGGAGCATTTTCATGTATTTGTGCATCCAATTCCGTTATTAATTCTTCCTTAAAGTCTAGCCCGGGAATTAGCTCATTTGTTTTTCCATTATCCACATCGTTTATTAGTGCCTCGTTATCAACTAAATCCAGGCCCGGAATGTATAGATTGGTTTTTAACTGCTCTTCGGCTATAAAATCCAGGCCCGGAATGTGTTGTTGGTCGTTTGTATTATGCACTTTATTGATTATTTCTTCTGCATCCAACAAATCCTGAGCAGTTAACTGCGCTTTGTCTGTGCCCGACATGTTTTGCTGAGATTCTATGGTATCCACCTCATGAACTGACTGCTCTTCTTTATTTGCATCCTGTCCCTGATTTGTTTCATAGGCTACTGCATTTACGAACTTAACTTTTTGCAGAACTGAAATAGGTTCATTTTGTTTTGTATTTTCTGCATTTACTAAGGGTTTTAAATTGGGCAGCGGTGTTTTTGGTTTCGCGACAACTTGATTATCCACTTGTTCCTCATCATTTGCAAATTTCTGGTCCATGTCCTTACTTTCAACATTGCATACAAAATATTTGTTTATATTTTCAGCTAATTTTTGCTTATTTTTTCCAGATTTTCCGCTGCTTGTTTGCTGTACTCTTGCTTCGATTTGGCTTTCCGGCGTGCACAGCTCTTGTGGCGTTAGCGGTTCCATATTTAACATTAGATTTTGGAACACTTTTTCACTGTCTACATTGCTGCTGCCAGCATTTGTTGTCGCCGCTGGGCTTTGTTGCTTGGGTGTGCTGCCAAAGAGATCTTCCATAGTTTTTGGTTTGTGGTCATTTGTAGAGGATTTGGTATGGTTTTTTCTTTCGGTTTCCCGTGAACTTTTGCGTTTACTGAAACCGAGATATGTAGCTTTATAAGCAGGGAAATATTGCTGGTAATAAATGCCAACGTTGCAAACTTACCTGCTCCTGCTGCTATTTTTGTGGGTCGAACGGGAACGTGAACGCGAGCGACTCCGTCGACTTCTTTTTAGATCCTTGTTCCTTGAGTTGTGCCTCTGGCTGTTGCTTCTATAACGATCCCGACTGCGACTACGACTGCCACGTCGACTTCTATCTCTATTACGATCTCGATCTCGATCCCGATCTCGTAATCTGTCCTGCGGATTCCTCACATCAGCTGACCGCTGACGCTCTGCGCCCGAGTCAAATGGCTTGTCTCGCTTGTGTTGCGTCATTTTCTCGGGGCCAGTCTCCCGGCTAATAGATCGTCTTACGGGTACGTGCTGTTGTGCAAGATGTTTCATCTTCACATCGCAGTTTTCGTTATTGTTGTCGATGGCAATTTCAGCTTTCACGTCAGACATATCCTCGCGTTTGAAGCGTTTGTGTTGCTGATGTTGCAGCTCGTCTAAAGGTTGTGTCTGGGAGTTAGGCTGCCCCAAATTGGGTGCACGCTTGCGTCTGAAGCATATGTCATCTTTCCTATTAAAAAAAATATACACATAAGATATATATATATATATATATATAAGTAATTGTGGCTTTCGACAGAGCTACTTACTCCCTGCGCAGCTGCGTTATTTGTGCATCTTTGCGTTTGATTTCCGCCTTAGCCGTATCGAGCAGGTTTTGGAAATTCACCTCCATTGTCTTAATTTTCTTGGCAAGTGCTTTGTTTTGCGCTTGCAAATTTGCAATTTCCAGCTGTGCGGCATCATATTTTGCCTCGCAGGCCTCCAATTCTTTGGATTTCTGGCAGCAAATCGATTTAGTTTCATTTAGTTGCTTACGTATTTGCGCTCACCTTATTTTCAGCTTCTTGAAATTCATCCAAATCATCATAAATATCGAGTTCGTCGCTCAACATTTTATATAAACCATGTACATTATTTTATAAATTGCAGCAGATTTAATGCGCGAAATACGACCAGTGTTGTTAAGAGCACAATCATGTAGACAGGGTCAAAGCAGCTCTGCGTTTATGGGCATCACTTTAACTTGTAGCGAGCCAGTTTGAAATGCAACAAAACATTGCCCTAACTGTCATAATACACACAGCTGACACTCAAATACACAATAACAAACTAATTTAAATACACACAAATAAAAAATGAAATGGCTGACCACAGAGAAACGCGTCCGTATTATTACAAACTCGAACGTCAAAAGTTTGCGTGCATTACATATTCAGTAACAGCAGCATTTCTCATTCTGGCCCTGTTGCAATGGTATCTATTTCATTTATTGTAAGTTACTATTGTTTATATTAGCAGCATTCAACTAACACCCATTCTTTTCGCAGTGATGCCACAAATAAGTATTTTACCACAAATTATTGGGTTGGCATTATATTTTTCGTAATGAGCTTACTGCTCATCATATTATTCATTTTCTTCGAGGATCTTCGCTTCTTTTCACCCATCAATTGGATAGTGGCTTTTATAATAGTGAGTCACGATTCATGTCCAACTTCTTGCTAATTTTTGGTTTACAGTTTGAATGCATTGTCGTTGGCGTTACATCGTTGATTGTGCGTCATTATCAGTACCACTTTTTAGTGAGCTACCTTATTTGGACCGTTGTACTTGTAATCTTCCTTGTACTTGGCTCTTTTATACCAGTAAGCAACGATCATTTAATAAATTTTTATGAAAATATATATCTTTTACCGTACATATTAATACATTAATTTACAGCGTGACTTAACGTTGGATATTGTGGTACTTGTTATATTTGGAATTATTTCCATTATTGGTGCCATGTATTTTCTAATGCTCTACTTAGTTGCGAATGTGCCTTATTCGTTTTTTGTGTATCGCGCCTTCATTGTTTTTAGCATTGTGACCGTACGCAACATTCAATTGATTTATCTATTTTCAAATTGTATACTAATTTCTTGCATTTTACAGTTTATCATGTACCACGCGCAAATTATCAATGGTGGACGATTTGCTGAGATTCGAGACAAGGACTATCTTTTGGCGGCGCTTATATTATTCTACGATTTTTTGCTTTTGTATTTATTTACTTTTCAATTGGCACCAAAGTGGTCTGATGTGTGCGATACACACAGAAATATTACAAATATTTTTGTAGTGGATGAGCATTTGAAACAAACAACACCGGAGGCAAAAATGGGTCTACCCAACGCTATTAAAGTCGATGTGGAGGTATAAGCGTCGTTTTAATATTTCAAAACTTTTGTTTAAACTTACGCGGTCTGTTAAATAAAAAATGTAAATTGCTTGCACTTGATGGGTAACACTTTATGATGGCGCAGCCAACTTCACACGTTTCGAAATTTGGCGCGCTGCAGCTGTTTTCATATTGTTTTGGGCCGTTGTTGTTGCTGTTAATATTGCTGCTAATAAACTTTATTTGGCACAAAGCTGACATAAACAATAATTTGTGTATTAAGCAACGTCACACACAACAGTGCAGCGCTTAGTTAAGCAATAGCCATGGATCCAACCATATCTGTTTCGAAGGTAAGCGAACGAATTTGAAGCCCAAATATAAATTTAAAACACTTGAAATCTGTGATTAGGGCTGTTTTGTCTATAAGAATGGAGCTACACGCGCCAATAAAAAAACGCCAAGCAAACGCAAACGCACAGAGGAAACTAGCAGCCTACTCGGCAAGGAGATCACGACGCAGCCCTTCTATGCCGCATACACCGAATGCTGGAATCAGCTGCACAGCCACATTGTGCAGCTGCAAATGGCTAGCAACGCGCGCACACTGGAGCAACTTGTGGAGTTTGTGACCGGCGAGGGGGCTTCCAGCATGGGCAACACGGAAATGCTGCCCACAGCGGCGCTGCTGACGGGCATCAATCAGCCCGATCATCTAAAGCAATTTGAGACGCTGACGCAGCGCCTGCATGCGCAACAAGCGGCTCGTGTCTGTGTGCTGCAATCACGCGATTGCGCCACATTAAAAGCTGCTGTGGAGTCCATGGTGTACAGCTTGATGGATGATCAGTTAGAATTGGTGGACCCGGAGGACGCAGAGGATGAGCGTGAGCGCGATCGCAAGCGTCTTCGTCGCACTCAATGCACCATGAAGCAGCTGATCGCGTGGTATGACAACAACTTTGGTGATGTGGATAAGCGACGCGCTTTGGTCATTATTCTGCCCGATTTTGAGTGCTTTAACGCCAGCGTGCTGCAGGATTTCATACTTATACTCAGCGCTCAGAGTGGCCGGTTGCCTTTTGTGCTAGTGCTGGGCGTGGCCACGGCCATGACGGCGGTGCACGGCACGCTGCCCTATCATGTCAGTAGCAAGATCAAGCTGCGTGTGTTCCAGACTCAACCGGCGCCAACGGGCCTGAACGAGGTGCGTAAATATCTTGGACTCCATTCTGCTATAAAGATTTACATTCTATATTTTTTCATTTTAGCTGCTCGACCAGGTGCTGCTCTCGCCCAAGTATGCCTTCCATTTGTCTGGCAAGGCTTTCAAGTTTCTGACCCACATATTTCTGTACTATGATTTCTCCATACACGGCTTTATACAGGGCTTCAAGTACTGCCTCATGGAGCATTACTTTGCGGGCAATGCCTTCGCCCTATGCACTAGCTACAGCCAGGCTCTGGGTCGCATTAAACAGTTGACGCATGATGACATGGAGACCATTAGGCGTTTGCCCTCTTTTCGTCCTTATGTGGAGCAGATCAACGATTGCAAGCGCATTATAGCTGTGCTTACCGACGATGATTATCTGAAGAAGAAGCTGCCGCAGCTGTTGCGTGACTGTCTGCTGCACTTTATGCTCTTTCGCTGCTGCCTGGAGTTCTTCACGGAGCTCGTGGGCGATCTGCCACGCTGTCCGCTGGGCAAGCTGCGGCGTGAGCTCTATGTAAACTGCTTGAACAAACCGATCCAACAGCAGCCAGAGTACAAGGAATGTTGGCAAATGCTCAGCTTTATGTCCAAGGAGGAATTCGTAGCCAAGCTCGCCAAATGCATTGACCGCACCGAACAGTTTCTCGGCGAGCAGATAGCTCCGCTGGAACTGGGCGAGGCCTGTGCGGATGTAATGCGCGCCGAGCTGCAGTCGCTCAAGAAGCTGCTCAACGATGTCGAACTAGCCACAATGGAGCTGCCCACACCAGCCACCGAATCCACTGCATCCACAGATGCACGCACTTTGACCGATCTCAAGCAGGTGGCCTCGCGCCATGAACTAAAGGCACAGCTGCTGCAGCGCAGCAAACAGGACAAACAGCAATCGACGTCAGAGTTTGCGCGTGCTCTTAACAATATATTGTCGCACATTGAGACGCACCTGGTGCTGGCCCATCTGCGTCCGCTGCAGCATGCACCACCGCTGCACGAACTGTACGTATTCAGCGACATATCGACGGTGCGCCGCAACATCATTGGAGCACCACGTGCTGCGCTGCACACGGCGCTCAATAATCCACATTTCTACATGCAATGCAAATGCTGTGAGCTGCAGGAGCAAACGCAACTGGTCAGCACCATGCCCGATCTGTCGGTGCTCTACAAATTGCATTTAGAGTGCGGTCGCATGATTAACCTGTTCGACTGGCTGCAGGCATTTCGTTCCGTGCTGCGTGCCGGCGACGAACAGGATGAAGTGCCACAGGAGCAGATCGATCCGCAGATTCAGTGAGTATATATTTAATTTTAAATATTTATTTATGTTGATTCGACTTTCTATATGCAGAGCACGCTTCACCCGCGCGGTGGCTGAACTGCAGTTTCTGGGCTACATTAAAATGTCCAAGCGCAAGACGGACCATGCCACACGTCTCACCTGGTAGGCGCTATACAAAACCAACTTGCGCGTTCCCTTATAGCGCAACTAGAGACCAATTGGATTTGAGCTTGGAGATCTGCTTGGTGTATTTATTAAAAAAATACAAATGTCGTACATAATATTTGTTCTCAGAGAAAAAAGTACTGTTCATAACGTTTCATCATCCAAAAAAATACCATATTTAATAGGTCTATACTTGTATAAAAATATAATTGTTTACTTTTTGATATTTTTTCAATGCCTGTTTTAATATCTTGAAGAAAATATGTGTGCATATATATGTATACATATAAACAAGTAAGAGCTATCTAGTCAAGAGTCCCAAGTAGTCACTGGAGATTAGAAGATATCTTAAATTTATATGGATTTGAAGCCTTAACAATTTTGATTCAAATAGTAAGGGGTTATATTTTGGGAAATATATTTTATATATAATTATAGCCAGATATTAATTTTTTCTAAAAATTTGTTAGACAACAAAAAAACGAATTGGAAAAAACTACCAACTAAATTCCATCTACCAATCAAAATGAAAAGCAATTTTCATTGATATGTTACCTAGTGCTTATTGTTTAAATTGGGGTTTACTTCGTTGGGTTATCTCGAGCGAAACATAACCTCAAACAAATCTATTAATAGCCCGGAAAACAGTAGCCCCAACAAAAAGGTCGCTGCACACGTAATCAAATTGAACATATGCCCCTAATGTGCGTATGTTTGTTTAAATCTTGAGCAGACGCACTCACTTTCTGTTTGTTGGAGTATTTACCACAAATTATTTGAAATATGGTGCAAGTGCGGCATAAAGGAAAACGCAGCCCACTTCGTTTTGTATGGGGTGTTACCAGTCTGCGGTTGCTTCCAATCGCTCTGCCCGTTGGCCATATTGTTGCCAGCACCCTGTTTCAGTTAATTGAGCGAGAAAAATGGTATAAAATGTGCGGCATTCTATAGAAATTCCGCAGTTCTTCTCTACACTGTGTAGTGGACTGTCTGCAAGGTTTTTCCCATTGTGCTCCACTGAGATATCGAGAGAGATATATATACCAACATGTATATCCTCGCTCCATTTGGAAAAATGGAAGTTACCATCGTTTTGCTGTTGGTCTCTGCCTCCATGGGCGGCATTGGTGGGGCACCAGTTGAGGTGGGTCGAAATTAAAGTTCGATTGAATGTTAACTAACTTTTAACATGCATGTTAAATAGGCCCCTGAGGTATGTCTTGAACAATCTGGAACTGTCGAATGCGCTCCCGGTAAGTTTTTATTTTTTTTGTGACATTCTCTAGCCTCTATGTGGGCGTAGCTTAGTTTAGTTTTTAAGATCTGTTCAAGATCTTTTATTCAAATTGAATATTAAAAGGTTTTCCGCTTACATGTCCGTCCAAAAAATTGTGGTTTTTATAATTCTGAAATTTTAAAAACTAGATTTTAATCCCATCCAAATTGAATATTTTTACTAGTTGAGATGTAAGCTACTTTTAAGAAGTTTTATAGAGTATTTTGTAGTCGTTTACGCTCAGCTGTCGAATTTGCTTCCCTAATTGGTCGCAAATTTTGTAGTTTTTTGTGCTCAACTATGATGTATCCTATAAATTAAGGTAACTATACGTAATTCTAGACAACTTACAATTTTCACCAAAATCATTTTTATTTGATTTTTATTGTTTTATTATCTAAGATTCTTTTATTTAAACAAAATATTTTGTTTTACTGTGAGTTATTTGGAAATCGATCGCATTGGTCTTTGAAAAGCTGCGATATGTTTTCTAATGCCACGAAATTTCTGATATCCCTTGTTTCTGAAATGTAGGGCAACAAGTTTTGGGTGTAGAAGCTAATATTCTGCGTTTTATTTGGGATAAATGGGTTGGCTGGCAAAAATCCTCAGACTAAACCCTCCACGCGGGTGCCAGCTGGGCAATGGATGCTGTCACGCCTGTTGGTTAAATGGGACAAATATCGAAGGTTACCCTTCCATTTACACCACAGGCATTGCAGCATCCAGCTAAGGTCTCGGTACAGCCTGCAGATAGCGCTGAAACCGAGCCATGGTCTCGAGGTATTTTCGGATTATTAATTCCCCAAGTTTCCTTTGGGAAAGAACATAGCTAAAGAAGGAACACAACTTTAAGGACTGCAGCCGAATAAACCATCGATTTTAATGAATAATTTTCCAGATTATAATCTTAAAAGTTTCAGCAATAATATTAATGAAGCTAATATCGAGAGCCAAGTCCTGAAGCATTAATCGGAAAACATTAAAAGTATTTATTTGTGTATTTTAATCCTTCCCATAGAAATGTGACACAGATATACGTGATAATCCCGAGCAGCTGGGACCATATTGAAGACCACATGGCTCATATCGTATCAAGGATTTACTATCATTGAGAAGCAAACAAGTATATCGAGCACTTCAAGCTGAGAGCAACAGGACATTTCGACTGTCCTGCACCTTCCAACAGGCAGGCCTATGCCTCGAAGATCTGGGAACTGGGAAAACATGAACTCGCTCTTTTTATTGAATTTTCGAGATGATTATTAAATCAATAATGCCTGCGGCATATATAATAAAATCAAGTTAAACTTATTTTTTAGTAGATAAATCGTGCCAAGCTCTGAATTGCTGTAACAAAGAGTAAGAGTAAAAGCCGGAAGTGAAAAAATGATAAAATCAGAGAGAGAGAGAGAGAGAGAGAGAGGGAGAAAGAGAGAGTAAATTAACGATGGTTATGTTCATAGACAAAATTTATTAAATTGCTAACAAAAAATACCCAAACTTCATTTCATGAGAATTGCATAGAAGGGCGACATTTTTAAATTAATTTGCATCTCAGTGGGTGGTATAAGATAGTGTCTGCGTTTATTTTAAGAGAACATAGATCGAGTATCATATCAAGACAAACAGTTTTGTAGATTGCTTTTTAAAATTTCCTGTGTTTCATTTAATAAATTAGCTCATATTTTATAAATTGTAGCTATTAGTTAATAATGTTTAAAGCAACAAAAATGCATTGGAGCTTATTTTGCTATTCTGATTTCAAGCGAGTATAGTCAAGCGTCTTAGAGAATATCAACATATTGCAGCTCATTCTGTCCAGCTCAAGGATTGATTACTTCACATAAGTTTCAGCGTCTCGATGGCCGCAGCGATGCGTTCGATTTCAGTACGGGATTCAGTTAGCTTTGTCTCATTGGCTGCTTGCACCTCGGCTGGCACCTTAGCAGCATAGTCGGATGCCTGAATTGCTTGGGTTATCTTGCTGACGGTCTGCTCTAGTTGATCGCGTTTTTTGTGCAGCTTGGCAATCTCCTTGTCGGCCTCGATCAGACCCTTGAGGAGCAGATGCACTTCACACTGTCCTGAGATGGTGAGGATGGCACAGCCAGCGGGCGGCGGACTGTCGAACGTCACAGTGGAGCAGTAGGCAATGGTAGACAGATCGCTGGCATAACGCTTAAGTATAGCATTGGGGGCTGAATCTGTGCAAACGATATAAGCCTCCGTCTTGGTTTTGTTGGGCAAATTATAATCAGAGCGCGCGGAGCGTATCACGCGTGCTGCCTTCTGCACGAATTCCACATCCGCTTCAACTTGGGCGTTGCGCCAGTTTGTGTTGGCTATGTGATGTGAATAAAAGGCAATTAGAGAAGATCGGGTAATGTTTGTACAGCTGATCACTTACTTGGATAACTGGATACGCAAATGCTGGGCGTGCGGTCTGCGCGCGGCAGACGCTGGAACAGTTCCTCGGTAATGAAGGGCATAAATGGCGACAGCAGACGCAGGCCATAATCCAAACATACATACAAAGTGCGCCTGGCTGCCGCCTGCTGCTCTGCGCTGCCGCTCTGAAAGATGGGCTTCAGGCACTCCAGATACACGTCACAAACGTCGTACAGCCAGAAGGCGTAACAGGCGCTGGTCACGGCAGCAAAATCGTAGGTATCGAAGCCAGCATTGCAGGTCTCAATGGTAGCCGCCAAACGGGACAGAATCCAGGCGTCCATTTGATTCGAATGCTCAGTGAGCGTGAGCTGCGTATTGTACAGTTCCTCGCCGTTAAAGTAGAGCAGCGCGAATTTGGTAGCATTCCAGAGCTTGTTGCAGAAGAAGCGATAACCCTGGACGCGATTGATGTCAAGATTAATATCACGCGCTTGGGTGATATAAGCGCACAGGGCAAAACGCAGCGCATCTGAGCCGCATTCGGGTATGCCCTGTGGATAGTCCTGCTTTTGACCCAACTTGGCCCTCTCAATCTCACGTGGATCGAGATTAGATCCAATCAGCTGCTCGTGCAGACCCTCTAGTGTAATACCGCATATCACGTCCATTGGGTCGATCACATTGCCCAGCGATTTGGACATTTTTCGGCCGTGTGCGTCGCGCACCATTGGATGCAAATAGACCTCCTTGAAGGGCAGCTTGCCCAGCAACTTTTGGCCAAAGAAGACCATGCGTGCTACCCAGAAGAAAAGTATATCATGGCCCGTCTCCAACAGCGAGGTGGGGTAGAAAGCCTGCAAATCGGCCGTGTTGTCTGGCCAACCAAACACAGAAAAGGGAAACAGGCCGGAGCTGAACCATGTGTCCAGCACATCCTCGTCCTGTTTCAACAAAATCAAACTAGGATCCAGGCCAAAGCGTTCAGAGGCTTTGCTCAAAGCCTCCTGCTCAGTGCGTGCCACAATCCAATACTGTTCTTCTTCAGACTAATAAAAGTATTGACATGCATGTTAAATTTACCATGAAGCTTTAAATTGCCAGTTTTACTCACCGTGCTAGGCTGAATGCTGGATTCCTTAAAGCTCACATGGTAGGCGGGTATGCGATGCCCCCACCAGAGCTGCCGGGAGACACACCAGTCGCGTATGCCATCCATCCAATGATACCAGGTCTTCGTGTGATGCTCCGGCACAATTTTCAGCTCACCGGAGCGCACAGCCTCTGTGGCGGCGGCAGCCATGTCCGCGCATTTGACATACCACTGTGGCTTGATGAGGGGCTCCACCACATCCTTGGAGCGACTACAAATGGGCACCACCATTGCATTGTTGATCGTCTCGCGATAAAGACCTAACTGCTTGAGCCGCTCCAGTAGTTGTTTGCGGCAATCGAAACGCTTGAGGCCGGTGAACTCGCCATAGTCGCCAATGATGAAGCCATCGTCATTGAAGATGGTAATAAAAGGCAGATTACAGCGTTTGCCCACCTCGTAGTCATTGGGATCATGAGCTGGTGTAATTTTAACTGCTCCTGTTCCAAAATCCATGTCCACAAACTCATCACACACTATTGGCAGGCGGCGTTCGCAGAACGGATGCACCACATGCTTGCCATGCAAATGCTTATAGCGTTTGTCCTTTGGATGGACAGCCACAGCCGTGTCACCCAGCATTGTTTCAATGCGCGTGGTGGCCACAATGATCTCCTCATTGCTATCCTCCACCTTGTAGGCAAACTTGATGAGTACACCAAACTCCACCTTCTCCTTGTAACCAGGTATAGCCAGGAACGTGCGTCCCGGCAGCTCCACCTTGTCCACTTCAATGTCTGATATAGCGGACCGCAGCGTGCACGACCAATTGACCAAACGTGAGCTGCGATAAATGGCACCCTGTTCGTGCAGGCGCACAAAGGCTTCGGTGACGGCACGGCACAGTTTCGGATCCATGGTGAAGTTAACGCGTGTCCAGTCGTAGGAGGAGCCCAAAGCCTTTAGCTGATCATAGATGCGACCGCCCTTCTCGCGTCGCCAGTTCCATATGCGTTCAATGAACTTCTCACGGCCCAGATCGTGCCTTGACAAGCCTTCATCGCGCCACAGCAACTTCTCCACCACCACCTGTGTGGCAATGCCCGCATGATCACAGCCGGGCACCCACAACGTGGTGCGTCCCTTCATGCGTTGATAGCGCGTGATGGCGTCCTCAATCGCGTTGGTCAGCGCATGACCCAAATGCAGCGAACCCGTAACATTGGGCGGCGGTATGACCATTATGAATTTACCATTCGGATTGGGGGCATCAATGGAATCACGCTAAGGAAGAGCTCGTTAGGAATTGCTCTAAAGTTTCTTTGGTATTCTTTATTTTACTTACGCCATATTCGGGTGTAAAGAAGCCCTGCTTCTCCCACCAGCTGTACCACTGGGCCTCCACATAGCGTGGACTGTATGCATCTGGGAGGGCTCCGCTGATGTCCTTCTTGTCGCCAGGCGCTGTGTTGGCCGTATAAACTGCAGCCTCTTTTACCTCTTTGGTGCGTTTCTGTAACAACGAAAGCATAACGATAACTTTCACCAATTCAAATAAGTTGATAGAAGAGTGCACAGTTGAAGATACCCTGCAACTCCAAAGTGTTGCGGCATATAAGGCTCGAAAATGGCGTTTGCTCCCACATCACTCGTATGAACTTATCATAGCCCCTTTACACCCACAGTTAAACACTGGCTTTTGGTTACAGGGCAAAACAATAGTGGAGCACAGGCACGATTCTGTTAAATTAATTTGCGCTCACCTTTGCCTCAAATAAGCAGATTAGTATGCACCCTTAAGGCCCTGTACCATATATTACCTACGCAGTTCATTATGTAGATAAATATATATGTATATTTACACTTTATACTTTTTCTGGCAGACTGTTACATACACAGGCACGAATTAAGTCCACCCAATATGTTCATTTCTTTGGTCACAGGGTATAACAATAGAGGTGCAATTACTCCATAGACATTCACTTTTGGCGATGTTTGCGTTTCACGAAAATAATTAGACAGAAATGAGCATAAGCGGACGCGAATTGCCAACGTTTACATGAGTCATACGGGTACGTAAATACCCTACAAACATAGTCTTCGCAGTTGCAACAACAACAAAAAACTTAACCTAGCACACTTTGAGGCACAGATATTTACCTCGGGCTTCTCCTTCTTCTCACCCGCCGCTGGTGCTACCGCCGCCTTTTTGTCCAACTTCGCCTGCAATTTGGCTAGTTTCTCAGCTTTCTTAGCCTCCTTTTCCAATTGTTTGGCCGTCTTTGGTGGGCCGTCATCACCGGCTAGCGTCTCGGCGGTGCTTGGCTGTTCCTGTTCTGGCATGCTGCTTGTTAATGTCTTCAATTGAGCTGTTGTTGTTCGCAACGACGATTAAATAACCGATTTGGGCTGTTGCAATATACTTATCATTACAAGTAAACTCACTTTTAAAGTTGTTTTATGCAGATTGCATCTACAGATGAAAACGTGTGCAAACGGTGTGACCAGAGCAGAAATTGTTTTGCCTAAAATATCGTTATATTTACTCAGCTGGAAAGTACTCGCACGACTATCGATGCTTTTGTTTAATCGACAATGGTGCAGCTCTAACTCTTTCAATGTGTTTTGTTAAATTTAGCAAAAAAGTGTGCAATTTTTGTGTATTTAGTATTATGTTCATTGTAAGAAAGTGATTGACTATAGAATCTAGTAAAGTGCAAGTGTATGAAACTAAATGAAAAATGTCGTATGCAGTATATGCCACAGAAATGCCAATGGACAACGACAACAGGATGGAGACGGAACGCGTTCTTCCAATTGTGGTGTAGTTGTGTATGGATACTGATTAGAAGACGAAAATTGCAAATTGGATGCCACAAAAACAAAAAGTTTGGTGTTTAAAAGCAATGCGACAGTAAAAACCAACAACCACACTTAAACACAAATCACATACAGCCCAGCACACACACACAAACACACACACACACATAGGCATGTGCAGCAGGCGAGCTAATCTATTGTAAATAAACCGCATACTGGTCTATTGTGAACGCTCACTGTTCTCGGTCACGTACGCCGTTTGTTGTTGCATCTGTGCTCTGAGCCCAAACTATTGCGAATTTGTTAAAAAGAAATTTTATCAAAGCAACGGACGAGACCAGCGGCATGTAGAAAACATTCAGCTGCAACTGCTTAATTAAAGGTGAGTTATTTAGCTTTAAGTTTAATTTGCAATTGAGCCAAGTATTTCGCAAAATCGATTTTTCAAGTTAACTTTTGGTCATGCAACGAAGCAAAGCCGCCCGCACCCTGCCGCCTACCGCTCTTCCGAGCCGAATTGGCGGCTCTCTTTGTGGCATACTCTTTAATTTCGTTTCCTTTTTATTATTGTTGTTTTCTTTATTCTTTAGCCGGGTAACGCGTCACTTAGTTTTGGCAATTCAAAGATAAATATTTAGCATACCTTTTACGTATGTGTGGGTGTAAGGGGTATGTACAGTCTGTGAGTCGGAACAAGAGTTGGGCATGTGATGTCCAATATTTAATGTAGATTTTGATTAGAAATCGTTTTAAAAATGTTACTAATTTTGACTTTTTGGATAACATCTTTCCATTAATAACGCTATATCTAGATTATAAACTTTCTTATCTTGATCAAAACCTAACTGATTTTCGAGCTTTACATTTTGGTAACATTATTAATTTAATATTTCTTATTTGTTTTTAAATCGAAAATATCTAAATATTTAGTTCTAATTGGATCATATAATATATTAAAAATACTTACACTAAAATTTTGCTTGTCACCTAGCTTATATCCATTATGATATAGCATTCAAAATAGATTTATTGATGAAACAAAAATTGCCAAATTTTTTTAATGTTTTTTCCTGGAAGGTATATATATGCCTTTAAGCGATTATCTCTATTAAGATTGGACTTGAAAAATTAAGTTAATAATGCTACTGAAATCATTAAAGTATTTGAGATAGTTTGTTTTAAAAATACTTTTATTTATATACTTTAAAACAACAATATGAGTATAGGATAAAGGGGTCATCGCTACATCACTAGCCTGAGATTCGAACCAGCATCCTCTCTCATGCTGATTCGTTATGCCTCTTTGACAGGTCCACTTAGAAATCAGCAGAAAAGCCATAAAATATACAATATAAAATGGCTTTATTTAAGTTTTGAAAATTTTCAACCAATTCTTCTGTAAAACAAAGCATTGTTATAGAATTTATTTGACTGCATTTAGTAATTTATTTGAGTCCAGTCACTCCTAGTTGGTTTCGTCAGTCCATTAATGGGTTCCAGCTTTGCCACGCCCCGAAACTAAAGCCGACAGCTGCTATACTATCGCGGTGTTAATGACTTCTTCTAATCAAACAAACGCGCCTCGGCTCGCAGTGTAAACAAAGCGTCGAACAAATGTTTGAAAGGCAGGGAAACGATATAAAAAAAGAAGTTATTGACATGCGTAGGGACAACCCTTAACCAGAGTCAGCAGCGACAGGATAATGAAACAAAGGGCCAAGTCCAGGCTATCCCAGACGACAACTGACCTGCGACAAAGACAGCGCCAGAGAAACATCTGCCCCGAGTCCTCGAGACGTCTGGCTCTGCGGCCTACCTGCAGGCCAGGGCGAGGCCAGAGCGCAGAGAATGGGAATTGGGAACTGGGAACTGGGAACAGGACACCCAAGCAAAGTTCAATGTACGCCTGCGCAAACATTTCACAGGATGCACGCGCAGCTGCGACAGGATTCGTAGCTCGGATGTGCGTGATTTTTGTGCGCTCTGCTTTAGTTTTGTTTTCTTGTTCCTCCGTTTTTATTTTTTGCTCTCTGGCTCTCTCTCCCTCCGGCCACTTTCGCACTTCCTACCCTACTTAATGCTGAAAAAAAGCGGAAATCTCAAATGTTGTAACAGTTTTTTTTATTTTGCCAGACAACTTGTATGTAATCTCTGTCCAACAATCGGGCGGATCCCGAATACCTTGTCCTGGCCACGCCCAGCTCTGCCTCAGTGAGCTACCGGTTTATCCCAAAAACAAGTTGCGCCGAACGCAATTTGAAACTTTTTTCAGTTCGTTGGGGTCCTATTCCCTCTCGATTGGGGCGATCGTGCCCCTGTCTACGGGTCGTCCACGGCGACGTATTGAATTACAGTTGCACGAAAAGCTGCCTCGTCTGGAACGTATCTGGTTTTTTGGGTTATGAGCGACAAAAATGTTGCTGTACACTTTGTTATCTTCGATATCCATATGCTGGCTGCACTGAAAAGCGAGCTCCCTTCTACTGGGGGGCACATGCAGGTGATGCAGCTCCGGCAGCTCAGGCAGCTGCTAATGTTGCCTAACCAGCATATAATTTATTTATTGGAAGCGTTGCGGTTAAAATCAATTTGGTTTTTTTTTTTTTTTACTATCTCAACAGCTGCGATTACAAGCCAAATACTCAATAAATAGTCAATAATAAAAAAAATTCTAAGAAATAATGTTCATATAGAAAATGTGTATTATTGGAGCTAAACCTTCAAGAAACAGATCTTAGATAAGTTAAAGTGCTCGATGGGAATTGAAATATGGTTCATATTTATTGGCATTTGCAGCACTTTTGAACAAAGAATTTATACAGCCTCGAATTGGGCTATCGAAAATTTAATATATGCTATATATTCTATCTTAAAGATTTTTTGATGTGCCTGGAAATAATAGAGCTAAAATAAAATAAAACCTGGCAGTAATCATTGAGAACTCCTTTGACTTTATTTGACTAGAAAACAATACATGTTTTTATTGGTCATGTAGATTATAATTACAGAACTCTACGATTATATAAACCCTCTAAGTAATTTTAAGATCCGTAAAGTGTATCTTAAGCAGTTTGTTTCTTAAATTGTTGTGCTTCAGGACTTCTTTCCATATTTTGTTGATTTAATTCAAAGCAAATTGTTTGCTCAGTCTAAATCCTAACTTTTTCCAACTAATGCTCACACCCACAAAAAACACAATATACATATTTATTTTGTAGCAATAAGACGAGAGTTCAATTAACAATCAATCAATTGAATCTAGGTTGTGACAGCTCTTGCGAATCGCACAACTGTTTTGATGTGCACACCCAGTGCACACACACATACAGATAGACACTCAGATACACACACACACATACACTCATGTATTCGTGGCAGCAACCGCAGCCAATCAATCGACAACCATCAGCTGCCAAGTTGAAATAACAACTGGAAATGGAACTGCAACTGCAACTGCTGCAGATGCTGCATTGTGCTGCAGTCCTTTCAGTTACACTGGGTCCTGGTGGCGCATGCCAAAACGCTTGCAGGAGCAGCAGCATTTATCGTATCTAGTTTTTAGGGGAACTCCCAGAGCCAAACAGATGTTGCCCACAGTCTGGCAATCAATGCAACAGGGGGCAGCTGCCATAGTCAGAGTCAGAGGCAGGCACAGCTACGAAGGCGGCCCGATCCGCTTGCAGCCGGCTTCAAGGCATTTATTAACATTACCTTTACGTGGCGACAGATGGCAGGCGGGCAGGCAGGCAGGCAGCTAGGCTCGGTACGGGTCAAGCAGCTGCTGCTGCCGCTGTTGCTGCTCCTGCCTCTGGGCTCTGGGCTATGGCTAAGCACTTGAAGTGCAGGTGTTGCCCGAGTTGGCAACAGCATATTGAGTCGTCAGCTGGGCGCTGTCCAGAGTTTGGCCGGTTTATGCGTTTCCTGACCGACCCTACACACACACACACACACATACGACACCACAACATTTAAGTGGGGGTTGTTGCCAAAAATCAGCTGTTTTTGCGCAATGTTTATAAACAAAATGTAACCCTTAGACAAGTCAGACTCTGCCGGGCCATATATACTCACATATATAGATAGATATTTTTGGAACCACCACTGAGCTGAGCTCTGCCGAGCCGTGCTGTGCTGTGTGCTGTGTTGTGAGTAGAGTTAAAGGCAGAGCAACCACCGGCATACGTCCATGTCCACGACCTACTTTGGCGCACTGGCTCTGGGCCACATGGCGCATGGGGTGGTTCCGCTCACAACAACAACAATGACAGCGTAAGGCGACGGCCTTTGTAGGTGCAAGGACGTTTGACACCGGGAAAACCCCCCATATAGCCGCCCAGACAGGGAGGACGGCGTAAGCAACCACCAAGTTAAACGCAAGGCACCGACCACCACGGAAAAACCATGTGCTCTGCTTTGCTCCGCTCTTGGTCATGTGCTTAACCGAACCACCACCGCCAACAACAACAACAACAACAACATTGCGTATTACCCACCTTGCAGTTCATTGGCATGTGCCGGCATGTCATCAGCCTCATCCACACAACGTCTTCGTCACTTTTAGGGGTTTTCCCAAAAAAAAAAGAAAGAAAACAACAGAAACCAAAACAAAGTGCGACTTGGTGGTAGTTAGAATCGCGCTCCCATTCATAAAGCATAACATAAACATACCCCCGGCTCAGTCATATATATATATATATATATATATATAGACACCGAGCATAGTGTATTGTTTGTTTTGACTGTCTCCGGGTTCTCTATTTTAGGTGGTGTTTGTTGGCATAGATTTCCCGACCTAATCGCAGGTGTACCCGCATATATATGTATATATATATTTTATTAATATAGACTACCCCCTAAAACTTGTGGCCAGCTCAACAGGTCGCCTGGCTAGTGGTTGTTGGTGTGTGTGCGTCTGTGTTTGTGTGTGTGTGTGTGTATCCCGATTGAGGGTAATTAGTATTTTTTGGGGTTATACAATTGACATTGGTCCAAGCTTGATATATATATTGTATATATGTAGTGCACAAGCCAAGGGGTTGAAGGTCGTACAGGTTAGTACTTTAGTGGGTTGCTGGGATGATAACAAAAACATGCCCTAAGTCAAGAGTTTTGGAATTTAATGCCTAATACAGTATAGCTTGAGAAGTTTTAAAATTATAATACGATTTTAACTAGATAAAAGGTTTGAGAGATTATCAAAAGTAATAACAGCATATAATGGTAAAAACATTTTAATAACACTTAAATTTATAGAAAACAAATGAAATGTGGGAAAATTATAGCATACTTCTTTGCAACATTTATATGATTTCTAAAAAATATATCACAACATTCAAGTACAAGCATTGTGGTATAATAATGAAAGGGTTCGATTTAAACCTT